TAAAAGGATATAGAACGCCGGAAAGCGCAGCAGGTACGGCAGTTGAAGGCGGCGAGGCCAGCGACTCCAGAGCTCGTCCCGCTGAAAAGCTTGCTTCGACGGCGCGGCTTCTCACTCCGGATCCAGCGATGCGTGTGCTTCGCTGAAGAGATGAAAATCAGCTTGTACCAGCCTAACGAGCATATTTATAGAGTGAGACCACGCCCTTTCTGGCGGGACGTGACGATATGGGCGCGAGTTGCCCCCATTGGTCATTACATCACGCAGAGTCTATCTCTCGATAGGCTGCTGCATTTGCCGCAAGAGCAGCCAATAGGCGCGCGAGCTGTCTCGCCTGTGTCTGCTTGCTGCTGCAAAGCGTTTTACATTAATAAAAAATTAAGGATAATTTTTGGCTTCAATATCTCGTGGAAAAGAGGTTTTCCCCTAGCGTAAGCTATTACGCAGTACGAGAGATACTCTCGTAAGAGAACTCTTTCCCCGCCAGCGTAAAAAAAAAAAAAAATTGTCAGCCAACACCAGCATTTTTGGCCCCCAGAATATTTTGTTGTATGAATCTGAACATATTATATATCAAAAGAAAGAACAGAGCCTCAACAACAACAACAAAAAACATATTTTAGTCTAGATTCTTTTTTTTAATCAAGTCTCTAATGTAGGTAAGGTTCATTGAAAAAAGCTACATTTTGAACAAAAAGCTGAGAAAATCACTTTTTTGTCAAAGACTACGTCCGGAGCCGATTCCGAACGATGATCAAACAGATAGAGTAGATCAGGTCCATCAACTCCTCAAAGCTTTACAGTCCTATGCCTCTTCATGGCTTCGACATTTCGTTTGGTAACGTTAGGCAGTTTTATATGCTGTTTGATGATTGCGTTAGCTTACATGTGTAAGAAATGCTTCTATCTCTTGTTTCTGCTACTTCTTCACTTGTTTTTGGATCCAGAGATTCTGTACTATATCAGAAGTAGGCAGAATGCCTACTATATAACAGTGAAAACGGGAAAATTCCATCAATGGCAAATAGAAAACAGGCAAAAATACTGATTATAAAAAAAGTTGCAATGTTGCCTTAAATTGAAGTATTGACTCGAGTGGTGAGCTGGTTTTGGCCTGGAAGCAACCATCCAGAACAGCCTAAAGCATTCTCATACTAACGTGTGAAAAACCATTTAAAACACCCTATTAATGGCAAAAGAAACGTACTGATCCTGGCAACATCCTTGCATTGTTTCAGCGACTTTTGTACTGGCAAGGAGCATTTGTGTTTTTTTGTTTTGGTGGTGTTTTTTGTTTTGTTTTTTTTTACGTTAAAAACCTGGTTTATTTTGTCATGCAGTGTGTAATTGAGTTTTTTAAAGCAGTGAAGTGGTGGAGTTCACAGGAAGCTCAGAAGTGCTACAGCTCTTTTGAAACATAATGAAAGGCTACAGTGAGGTGCACTGAATGTCTAAAAGAGACTGCTGGGCTGTCGGCCTCTGGGAATGCATTCTGCACACGTACTCGGGCTATTCTACTTCCTGTCTCATTTAGGAAAGAGAACTGGTTCCTTCACATTTGTGTGTTGGGCTCCTGTACTAGATTTGCATTTTAGAAATTGCCTGCCAAGCTGTACATTTTCAGACATCATGCAGTGTTGATGTATTTCCTATTGAAATAGGAAGTTGTGGCAGAACATATCAAAGGGATTGTCCTTTTTCAATTGAAATACCATATCTGTATTAATTCTGTGCGCAGTATGGACATTTCAGTATGCATGGAATAGCCAGATAATAACCATACTAAGTTTTACTCAAATGTACTGTATCTACTATATTCCACAATGCAATGTGCTTAAGGTTAACAAATGAACCTGTATTTTTTAAAGAGTTGAGACATTTTTACACACAGTTGTATCATAAAAGGAAATATATTATGTTTTATACAGTGTGTGTGTGTATAATATATATATACACTCACCGGCCACTTTATTAGGTACACCTGTCCAACTGCTCGTTAACACTTAATTTCTAAGCAGCCAATCGCATGGCGGCAACTCAGTGCATTTAGGCATGTAGACATGGTCAAGACAATCTCCTGCAGTTCAAACCGAGCATCAGTATGGGGAAGAAAGGTGATTTGAGTGACTTTGAACGTGGCATGATTGTTGGTGCCAGAAGGGCTGGTCTGAGTATTTCAGAAACTGCTAATCTACTGGGATTTTCACGCACAACCATCTCTAGGGTTTACAGAGAATGGTCCGAAAAAGAAAAAACATCCAGTGAGCGGCAGTTCTGTGGGCAGAAATGCCTTGTTGATGCCAGAGGTCAGAGGAGAATGGCCAGACTGGTTCGAGCTGATAGAAGGGCAACAGTGACTGAAATAACCACTCGTTACAACCGAGGTATGCAGCAAAGCATTTGTGAAGCCACAACACGCACAACCTTGAGGCGGATGGGCTACAACAGCAGAAGACTCCACCGGGTACCACTCATCTCCACTACAAATAGGAAAAAGAGGCTACAATTTGCAAGAGCTCACCAAAATTGAACAGTTGAAGACTGGAAAAATGTTGCCTGGTCTGATGAGTCTCGATTTCTGTTGAGACATTCAGATGTTAGAGTCAGAATTTGGCGTAAACAGAATGAGAACATGGAACCATCATGCCTTGTTACCACTGTGCAGGCTGGTGGTGGTGGTGTAATGGTGTGGGGGATGTTTTCCTGGCACACTTTAGGCCCCTTAGTGCCAATTGGGCATCGTTTAAATGCCACGGCCTACCTGAGCATTGTTTCTGACCATGTCCATCCCTTTATGGCCACCATGTACCCATCCTCTGATGGCTACTTCCACCATGTCACAAAGCTCTAATCATTTCAAATTGGTTTCTTGAACATGACAATGAGTTCACTGTACTAAAATGGCCTCCACAGTCACCAGATCTCAACCCAATAGAGCATCTTTGGGATGTGGTGGAACGGGAGATTCGCATCATGGATGTGCAGCCGACAAATCTGCGGCAACTGTGTGATGCCATCATGTCAATATGGACCAAACTCCCTGAGGAATGCTTCCAGCACCTTGTTGAATCTATGCCACGAAGAATTGAGGCAGTTCTGAAGGCAAAAGGGGGTCCAACCCGTTACTAGCATGGGGTACCTAATAAAGTGGCCGGTGAGTGTGTATATATATATATATATATATATATATATATACACTACCGTTCAAAAGTTTGGGGTCGGTACGATTTTAAATACTTTTAAAAGAATTCTCTTTTGCTAACCATGGCTGCGCTTATTTGATTAAAAATACAACAAAAATCAGTTATAGTATTAAATATTATTCCAGTGTAAATCAGCTGTTTTCTGTGTGAATATATAGTAAAGTGTAATTTATTCCTGTGATCAAACCTGAATTTTCAGCATCACCAGTGTCAGTGTCTTCAGTGTCAAATGATCCTTCACAAATCAGTATAATATGAGGATTTGATGCTCAAGAAACATTTATTATTATTATCAATGTTGAAACAGTTGTTGGTCTGTCAGTTGTACAGTTTTTTTTTTTTTTTTTAGGATTCTTTGATGAATAGGAAGTTCAAAAGAACAGCATTTGTTTGAAATATAATCTTTTGTAACATTATAAATGTCTTTACTGTCCTTGATAAATAAAAGTATTGATTTCTTTCCTCCAAAAAATAAAAATAAAATTCTCACTGACCCCAAACTTTTGAACGGCAGTGTATATATTATACACACACATCATCATTTTGTATATCATCATTTTATATCTTGTATATTCAAAATAATAAATAGACTGATTTGTAATAAGGTCATGTGATTACTTAGTAGGCTAGTATTTATTGCAATAGCCCATAACTACATGCTATTACTGTACATGCTGGTTTTCAGATGGTTTTACTAGGATTTATGTCAAATGATATGAGTATTTCACCCTGTAGATGCACTCAGATCTAATAGACATGAACTACAAGCCACAAAACTTTCTTTTCAGAGGTTTTTACTTTTTATGTTCTTAAGACACAAATATTCTCTTGAGGCAGGTAGTGTTGGTCCAGCTGAGTGGGGCCAGGTTGGGAAAGACCCTCTTTAGGGCCGGGGCCACTTGACATTAGTGTCTGCACTGAGAGAGATGAGATAAGTAGGGAGAGAAGGATGAGATGTGAGGATGAGATCTGTCCGGCTCATAAAACCCTCTTTTGTCTTGTAAACTGACCACTGTTTGTTCTAGTAGAAACTGGGCCCAAGGCGCCTGAGCACCAGCAAAATGTACATTTCCTGGCATGTATGTTTCATTGTTTCGTTTTCATGGAAAGATCACAGTTTAATGAGGACGGTATCAGTTTTTTGGGGGTCCTTAAAGACAGTGTTTCATGTATTTCAGAGTGAAACTAAATATCCTGTGGGAAATAATGTAGGACGGGGCTTTGTTTTATCCGTTGGGATTTGATTGGATCATGAAATGTTTGACAATGATATTATTATTGGTGCTCGCGAAGGCTTTTGTTCTGAACCCGTAACCCAAAGTATTCAGCTTTAGCACGCAACACTTCCTGCACTGCCTTCGCTACGAACATTAATGATTCCTCGAATCATGCAGCGTTTCTAAGCGATAAGATATTCTATTTTTTTGCCTGGTGGATGAAAAAACGGGCAAAAAGTCTCTTAAATTTACATTGAAGAAATATCCAGATTCTGAAAAAATTGAGACCAGCTTCTTTTGAAAATGTAAATGAAAAATCTAGTTGGTTAATAGTTATTCAGTTGTTTCAGAGGCAGAGAAAGTTATTGCATTTTGATAAAAAATTTATGTAAATTTTTAGAAAGTTAACTTTAGGTCAGGTTTTTGGCATGTTGAATCTGATTGCAAAAATAAAACCGCATCTAAACTCTTAACCGAGATTAGTGCTGCAGACTCGCTCAGAGGAAAGTCAAGTGGTTAAACTATAATGGGAACATTTGTAAATGGACTTCCTGTGTTCTCTCTTCCCCCGTCTCACCAGGCTAATATTGGACAAATGGATACCGCCAAGGATATGTGGAAAATGATCATGGGAAACCTCGCACTAATTCAGGTTGGTCACCTTCTAAAAATATCAATCCTGTTTGTCTAATGTACATGCCAACTCTTCACTTCACAAAGGCTTTGTTCAGACAAACAGTGAAAATCTGATTATTTGGCATATCTGACTATGAAATTGGCAAATAAGCACATGAAATCCAATGTTTACCTACTAGATCCACATCCAAATGTGTTTTTTTTACGTGTCTTAGTCATAATAATTTTTTTCATATACGTCATCAGGATTATTTAAATCCTATTATAGTATTTATTGATATTTTCAATTAGCTTTTCTTTTTATATTTTCAGTTTTCATTTTAAATTTAGTTTAAATTTTAGTAATTGTAGTACTTCATCTAATTTATTTCAGTTTCCAAAGTTCTAATATTTCCATTTATATTTTATTTCAGCTTTATTTAAATGACCAAAAATGATAATTAGTTAACAATAACAATACTGAACGTCATACGAAGTGCAGTACATTTTTCCTTATACTGTACATGTTTTGAATATTGAATGAATGAACAAGTCAGTTCTTCAGAGGAAACAGATCAGATTTGTCATTCCTAAAGATTTTTGCACCGAATGTGCAAAGCCAGAGTCACATATCACATATGGTTTGACGTTTCCAGATTGCACTCTCGAATGAACAATTATGTAATGATTGGGTGATCTTTTTCTTGGAAATTACCCTGAAATCCAATAATGGCATGTGTACACTAATGACGAAAGAGATCAAAGTAAACTTGACATGAACGGGACAGAAGACTTTGAACTTCAGGAATGATGGTCAAAAGGGGTGTCTGAGTTCATGCTGTCCTTCCTGCTTTCAGGTCCAGGCCACTGTGGTCGGCTTCCTGGCTTCCATCGCCGCAGTCATTTTTGGCTGGATTCCAGAGGGTAATTTTAACATGGGTCATGCCGTCCTGCTCTGTGCCAGCAGTGTGGCCACCGCATTCATCGCTTCTTTGCTGCTAGGTGAGAGGTTGAGTCATCTACTGTACCTCTGAGTTGAGGAACCTGACACTTTGTGTCCCTAACATCCCAGGAAGCTTCAAATGTTTTTACAACGTTGCAGTTAGATGGCTCCTCAGTGCAGCATGTTAAATACATTTTAAGAGAAAATAAATCAAATAAGCAAGATATGATGTGCTGTGTATGTATTAAGATGATTAAGATGTTTTAATGAATTATTTACAGGTGAAACTCGAAAAATTAGAATATCATACAAAAGTTAATTTATTTCAGTAATTCAACTTAAAAGGTGGAACTAATATATTATATAGACTCATTACATGCAAAGTGAGATATTTCAAGCCTTTATTTGTTATAATTGTGATGATTATGGTTTACAGCTTATGAAAAACCCAAATTCAAAATTAGAATATTGTGAAAAGGTTTTCATAAGCTGTAAGAGATTTGTGAGATATTTAAAAATATATGTTAATTATGTGAGATATTTTAAATATTTTGTTAACATTTAAAAAAAAAATAGATCAACTTTTTTTTGCGAGTTCATAAAAAATATGGGATATACAGTAATAAATAAATAATAATAAAGCAAAACTTATAATTAAGTCATGTTAAAGGGATAGTTTACCCTAAAATGAAAATCGTCTGTATCAGACCACAAAAGGAACATTTTTTTAAAAAAAATCTCCCTCTCACGCTAGTCCATATAATGGCAATGATTAGCGGCCAGTATCAAGCTTTTAAAAAAATATGCAAAAGCATCACAGAATGATCCCGTGTGACACATGTCACATTCTCCAAGTGTTCTAGGGGTATACGATAGGGTTTGGAGAAAAACAAACTGAAATTGAATGTATTATTTAACAAAATTCTTGACCTTGGCCGTTGGTCTTCTGTGCTCGACTCTGTGTTTGTGAGACTGTATTAGCGCCACAGTTGACTCCATTTCACCCAGAAAAAGTTTCAAGGGATCAAGATTAATAAACAAGCCTAGAAATCCCCAAAAAGTATTTGTGTACTCTCTTACCTGTGTTAAATATCTCCAGACCGGAACTCCGTTTGTCTGATGACGGTCAGAAGGAGAGTTGACAGATGTGAACGCTATAACTTCTTGTTGCGACGAACACAACAGATATAGAAAGTACATGGATAGTGTTTCATGCCATGTTTATCTTAGTCTTGGTTTCTCACAACTTGTGTGTTTTTCTGGGTGACACAGAGTGAACTGCGGTGCTAATAGAGTCTCACGAACACACAGTCGAGTACAGAAGACCAACGGCCAAGCTCAGGATTTTCATTTAATAATACATTCAATTTTGGTTTGTTTTTCCTCAAATCTTATCTTACTTGGGATATAGGACACATGTCGAATGGGAACATTCTGTGATACTTTTGTGTCTTTTTTAAAAAGCTTGATGTTGGTCTCTATTCACTGCCATTATACGGACGAGCGCAAGTGGGATATTTTTTCAAAATTCTGAAAAAGAAAGAAGGGCATTAGAACAACACCAGGGTGAGTAAATGATGACTTAACGTATAGTTTAAAACATCATGGCAATGTTTTCACATCTAAATAGAAATGTACTAGCTGAGGTGAGTAAAGCTAATGCTTGTTTTTGAACCTGGAAAGACAAAGCAGCTCTGAGGTCTCATTTCAACACTAGAGTGGAAATATATCCTCCAAACAGGAGGTATCAACAACTAAGAATGCCTGGTCTCCATTGTTTGGGATTGACACAATCTCCTGTGTTAATTCCACCATTTCAACACTAACTTGACAAATCTTTCCTCTCCTCTTCTGGCCAGGTCTTATCATGATCGGGGTTATCATTGCATCCAGGAAGGTTGGCATCAACCCAGACAACGTGGCCACCCCCATTGCTGCCAGCCTTGGTGACCTGATCACCCTGGCCCTGTTGGCTGGCATCAGCACGGGCCTGTATAAGGAACTCGGTGAGTGAATGCCGCAGGTCTTTGGCTGAGGAACACTGCCATAATCGGATATGTACAGTCAGTGCATTTTGTGATCCAAGTGCAGGCAGATATGAGCACCTCTAAATTTGCAGATTCACATACATTATAGCGTATAACTTATGAACCCTGTGCCCTAGAAACGTAATTCTCGTTCCTCTGTTTTCTTGGACCAAGTCGAGTTCAATGGAGGTGTATGGATCTATCTTGGCAACTGAAAATAAACTAACTGAAGATAACATCAAAACTCATTATCTTCTTTAATTAGCCACGTTAGGCCTTTGCTTTGCAGAGGAACTTCCACAGTCAGGGAGGAAATGGCATCTCAACACTTGCTTAGTGGTTTAAAAATAACACAATTAATTTTTTTTTAATAAAAATGTTCGATAAAACCAGCATTTTCAATGAAATAATCATAATTCAATTTGAAAGTTGTTTCATGTACATTATACTGTATGTGAATCTGTATTGAAACCACAATAATAAGCCATAAACCGACTTTAATTAACACTATCATTGTAGACAAACTTCTCATTACTATTAGAAAGCCTATCTGTCACCCAGCATTACAGTGGTCGTTTTCCTTTGCGTAGTTGAAAACCACAAGCTCTTTCTTTCTCCGAAAAATGTTTTGAAGAGGTGGTTTCAGGTTTATCTGTCACTTCCGTATCTATGCTGAGGAAGTGAAAGTGTGCTTTCTGCAAGCTCTCAGTCTGTGCAGCTACCCACACACACATGCTTTTAATGAATGTTAAAATAGAGCACAGATATATTACAGTAATGTAAAGCTAAAAATCCTGAAGAAAAAGTGCAGTTGTAATATATGTATATGCTTATATACAGTATGCACATATATATATATACACTCACCGGCCACTTTATTAGGTACCCCATGCTAGTAACGGGTTGGACCCCCTTTTGCCTTCAGAACTGCCTCAATTCTTCGTGGCATAGATTCAACAAGGTGCTGGAAGCATTCCTCAGGGAGTTTGGTCCATATTGACATGATGGCATCACACAGTTGCCGCAGATTTGTCGGCTGCACATCCATGATGCGAATCTCCCGTTCCACCACATCCCAAAGATGCTCTATTGGGTTGAGATCTGGTGACTGTGGAGGCCATTTTAGTACAGTGAACTCATTTTCATGTTCAAGAAACCAATTTGAAATGATTAGAGCTTTGTGACATGGTGGAAGTAGCCATCAGAGGATGGGTACATGGTGGCCATAAAGGGATGGACATGGTCAGAAACAATGCTCAGGTAGGCCGTGGCATTTAAACGATGCCCAATTGGCACTAAGGGGCCTAAAGTGTGCCAGGAAAACATCCCCCACACCATTACACCACCACCACCAGCCTGCACAGTGGTAACAAGGCATGATGGTTCCATGTTCTCATTCTGTTTACGCCAAATTCTGACTCTAACATCTGAATGTCTCAACAGAAATCGAGACTCATCAGACCAGGCAACATTTTTCCAGTCTTCAACTGTTCAATTTTGGTGAGCTCTTGCAAATTGTAGCCTCTTTTTCCTATTTGTAGTGGAGATGAGTGGTACCCGGTGGGGTCTTCTGCTGTTGTAGCCCATCCGCCTCAAGGTTGTGCGTGTTGTGGCTTCACAAATGCTTTGCTGCATACCTCGGTTGTAACGAGTGGTTATTTCAGTCACTGTTGCCCTTCTATCAGCTCGAACCAGTCTGGCCATTCTCCTCTGACCTCTGGCATCAACAAGGCATTTCCGCCCACAGAACTGCCGCTTACTGGATGTTTTTTCTTTTTCGGACCATTCTCTGTAAACCCTAGAGATGGTTGTGCGTGAAAATCCCAGTAGATTAGCAGTTTCTGAAATACTCAGACCAGCCCTTCTGGCACCAACAATCATGCCACGTTCAAAGTCACTCAAATCAACTTTCTTCCCCATACTGATGCTCGGTTTGAACTGCAGGAGATTGTCTTGACCATGTCTACATGCCTAAATGCACTGAGTTGCCGCCATGTGATTGGCTGCTTAGAAATTAAGTGTTAACGAGCAGTTGGACAGGTGTACCTAATAAAGTGGCCGGTGAGTGTATATATATATATACAGTATTTATATTTACACTACCATTTAAAAGTTTGGGGTCAAGGTTTTTTTTAAATGAAATTAATACTTTTATTCATCAAAGATGATTGAAATTGATTTAAATTGATCAAAAGTGACAGTAAAGACTTTTGAATGATTACAAAACAAATTATTTTTTTTTTTAAATGCTGTTTTTTTATCTTTCTATTCAAGAATCCTGAAAGTGTATCATGGTTTCCACAATAATATTAAATATTAACACTAATAATCATTATAAACAATTGCAAATCAGCTAGTCACATGATCCTTCAGAAATCACAGGAATAAATTAAATTGTAAAATCTACTCGAATAGAAAACCGTACAGTTCATCAAGACTTCTGATGAGGGTTATCATGTGATTTTTGTGTACTTTTGATTCTCATGAGTAATATGTTTAAACAGTCATCATGCTGAGTCAGGGTCAGGTTAGAGCGGAGCGGAGCTTGTTGGGGCATGTTGGGGCTTGTGCTTCACCTGAGGGTGTCTTTAATCTCAGGGTGCTTGATACACATTAGACTGCAGTCTCTCCCTTTAGACCCATAAAGCAACAACACTCTCTAAGTGGGAGGACACTTTCTCATTTCGATTGCGAAGAAACGACACAAGAACACATTGTATTGTTAGTTCAGCTTTTTTGTGGCAACACCTTGGTGTTTTGATGATGTGTGGTGAACAGTGCTGAAGTGAGAATGTGCAAATGGAAACATTATGGTAAAGAATGATTGCATGTTTATGTCGTATCAAACCTCACAAGACCAAACCGTCTGGATGTAAACATTTAAAACTGCCAAAGTAAAAGTAGTAGGTCAACCAAGCATTCATCTTACTCAATTTCTTCAGAATCTTGCTGCAACATTACAACCAAAAGAATGTTGTCTTATTGTGATTTCTAAACCAGCTTTGGTTTTGAAACTGTCTGCAAAGTCTTGCATTAAACATGTTGATCATGACACTTCAATCTGAAGAATGTAGATATCTGTAATGTATGACCATTATTTTATGATGGCTTCAACTTGAATCAACATAATAATAATGTATTCTTTTTTTTTTTCTTTTTTTTTTTATGTAAATGTATAGTTTTAAAGGGATACTCCACTTTTTTTGGAAATAGGCTCATTTTACAACTCCCCCAGAGTTAAACTGTTGAGTTTTACCGTTTTTGAATTCATTCAGCCGATCTCCGGTTCTGGCGGTACCACTTTTAGCATAGCTTAGCATACATCATTGAAGTGGACAAGACCATTAGCATTTCTAAAAAAAAAAATGCAAATGGTCGCCTGAAAATAAAAAAATAAAAAATAAAACGCAGCGCCTGAAAATAGTTTCGTTGTGTTGACGGAAGGTAGCCTATTTTCATATCATTACGCCTGCTGCACTCATGGTACGGCAGTAAAGTTTCTTGATTATTACGCAGGAATGAGAGAATAGTTCCTAGCCATATCAGCCTAGAAAATCGCAACTTTACATTTTCCGTCGGTCTTAGTGCACGATGTAACTACAGAAGAGTCAAGTTTTAAATAGGAAAAATATCGAAACTCTTTGGTCATTTTTTTTTTTAGAAATGCTAATGGTCTTGTCCACTTCAGTGATGTATGCTAAGCTATGCTAAAAGTGGTACCGCCAGAACCGGAGATCGGCTGAATGGATTCAAAAACGGTAAAACTCTGGGGGAGTTGTAAAATGAGCCTATTTCCAAAAAAAGTGGAGTATCCCTTTAAATCTACTGTTTGTTAGACCTATTTTTAATTTATGAATAATCTTAAATTTTTGCATCTCTCAAGTTTCAAAAGACATGTAGGCATTCAATTTCCAGGGGTTATATATATATATATATATATATATATATAGTGCTTACAAATCGATTAATCACGATTAATTTAATCTAAAATAAAAGTTTTTGTTTATATAATATATGTGTGTATATGTATATATACCTTTATGTTAGATGTGATTAATAGCGATTAATCAATTTGAAAGCACTATATATATTAGGGATGCACGATATCGACCGATATATGTTCATTTTTTATGTTATCGTTATCGGCTATTTATTGTGATCAGGCTCTCAAAAATAATATAAAACTTTGGATTTAGATTTATCAGCCAACATATCAGTTATCGCCTTTCAAATATGAAGAATTATATATATATATATATATATATATTATATTTACTCATATTTATACATTTGTCATTTATAAACATGGAATGTGAAAATGTATTCAATTTAGCTAACTTTAAATGTATTACATTTTTCCTTACAGAATTCAATGATTATGCCAACCCGATGGTTTGTGCCTTCTTCGTCGCCCTGACACCCATCTGGGTACTTATCGCCCGGCGGATTCCTTCCACACGAGAAGTGCTCTACTCCGGGTGGGAGCCTGTCATTATCGCCATGGCTATCAGCAGGTAGGAAAACACTGATTAAGATAAAGATCCTCATTTCCTCATTCCTCTTTATGATGGATGACTCACTCACTTGCGGCTGACAGCGATATGTCAATCATTTATCTGACACCATAGATGCAGTAAAATTAGATTTATTCTCTTTGTGCTTTTAAAACAGTGTTGGAGGCCTGATTCTGGATAAGACGGTATCTAACCCCAACTTTGCTGGAATGGCGGTTTTCACGCCCGTCATCAACGGTAAGACTCCTTATCAACTCCTTATCATCTCGTGTCAGAGTGAGGGCTAGTAAGAACAACCGTCAGAAACAGTCACACCGGAGATCATTGCTTATGTTGTTTGTTTTGCCCTGCTGCAGGTGTGGGCGGCAATCTGGTGGCGGTACAAGCCAGTCGAATCTCCACCTACCTGCACATGAACGCCCTGCCCTTAGCGGATCCAAACCCAACCCCCATAAAATGCCCTACTCCCTGGAGCTCGTTCCTTGGGTCAGGTGAGTCAAAGGAAATGGCACACTCATCAGACCTATTATTAGCAAAGACGTAATCAGTAAATATTGATAGAAGCGTATTTTCCTGTATTGTGTCTCAATTCGTTTGGTCATGCGAAGACTAGCTCAACTTTTACTCTCTCACCAGGTGTCAACTCCCGTTCTGCCAGAGTGCTTTTCTTCCTGGTCGCTCCTGGTCATCTGGTCTTCCTGTACACCATTAACTCAATGCAGGGTGGACACACCTCTCTCACCTACGTCTTCATTGCATTTTACCTGGCCGCTGCACTGCTCCAGGTATACCTGAGCATCTACTGTATTCCTCATTACGAGGAAGTTTGAGGTTTAAAAGGAATGTAATGTTGTGTTTCCTTTTTTCCCCTCCTCCGTTTGGCATAAAACTATGGAAGCTTGTTTCCGCCACAGAATGAAAAATAAAAAAGGTAATTGCGACTTTTTATCTCACAATTCAGACTTTTTTTCTCACAATTGCGAGTTTACATCTCGCAATTCTGACTTTATTTCTCAGAATTGCGTGAAATAAAGTCGCAATTGCGTGTTATAAAGTCAGAATTGCGAGATATAAAGTCAGAATTGATTGATATAAAGTCGCAATTGCGTGTTAAGTTAGAAATGCATGATATAAAGTCGAAATAGCGTGTTGTAAAGTCAGAATTGTGAGATATAAACAGTCAGTCTTTTTTTTCCTTCGAATTGGCCTGATAACTCACAATTCTGAGAAAAGATGTCAGAATCTCGAGATATAAACTCGCAATTATGTGTTATAAAGTCAGAATTGCGAGATGTAAACTTGCAATTGCGACTTTATTTCTCATAATTGCGACTTTATTTCTCGCAATTGCGACTTGATTTCTCACAATTCTGACTTCATATCTCGCAATTGTGAGATAAAAAGTCGCAATTATTTTTTTTATTTTTTTTATTCAGTGGCGGAAACAAGCTTCCATTATAAAACACTGTGTTCGTGGTCATCCAGGTTGAAATGTTGACTAAAAACAAGGAGTTTTTTTAGGTTTTCCGCCGCACATTCTCTCTATATTTACGATTCTTTAGCCTTTAGCCGCTGCCTACAACTCACTGGATCCTTCACTGGAAACCAAATATAACACTCCCGCAGTCCCACTAAACATTTACTCTTTTAATTTTTGCATCAGGGAACAATACAAGTCGACACCATTATGACTAAAAGTTTGCTAAGAAGTATTTCCTACTAAAGCAAGGTGGTATTTGATTGATCAAGGATATCCATTGCAGACTGATGGGAGTGGCCTTGGACAGCAACATGCCCAGTGCATTTTGGGTGTTAAAGTTTTCCTAATTATTTGGCAAAAGTGAAGACAACAGCCTTTTTTCTTAGTTTTCTCTAGTCAGGTACACTGATTTCAAAAACGTTTTCGCCTTTCTTCTGCATATACGGGCACGTTTCATTGAAAGCCAGTGGTGAAGTAGATCCTTTAAGAAAGAATGCTGTGCATGAATAACATTAACCTTATTTTAAGACTTTTACAATGTTTGTGCATTGTGACATTAAATTATATTCTATTACTATAATGCGAAACAAATACACTACTAATCAAAAGGATGGGGTCACTGTTAAGAAATTAATACTTTTATTCAGCAAGGACACATTAAAGTGATCAAAAGTGACAGTAAAGACATTTACAGTTTTACATAAAAATTCTATTTTGAATAAAAGCTGTTCTTTTGAACTTTCTATTCATCAAAGAATCCTGAATAAAATAAGCAGCAAAGTAGAATGATTTCTGAAGAATCATGTGACACAGCTGAATTTTCAGCATTAGTTAAGATGCATTAAAAAGGCGTTAAAATTGTTTTATGCAAAATAAAATATCTTTGTATCAACCTTCATATGTTCTGCATTTCCCTGGTGATTTCCCTCATGCCACACTGACACATTCTGTCTTCCCGTCTAGGTTGTGATCCTGCTGTACCTTGCAGACTGGATGGTTAACTGGATGTGGAGTCGAGGGATGGATCCCGACAACTTCTCCATTCCCTACTTGACCGCCCTGGGAGACCTGCTGGGGACGGGCTTCCTGGCTCTGTGTTTCCACATCCTGTGGCTAATTGGAGATCGGGACACAGATGTGGGTGATTGATCCACGCTGCTTCCTTTGACTCTGTCCAAGCAACACAAATGTCTTTATTTATAATGCCACGTAGAGAAATAATATCTATATTGTTATGGCTACTATGTCTACCATGATTATATTGATGACATTATTGCTTTAGTATTGATTTGTAATTTCGTTGTTGTTTAGCTACTGGGAGAACAACAATCCTCATTATTTTTCAATGGGGATGTTCGGCCCAATTTTACGGCCAGTCGCGTTGGCTGCATGTAAAGATGACATCGACCTAAACTTGAAATATTTCACGAGAGGCAAATGAACATAGAATGCTTAATCACCAAGTGCTACAAAATGGTTTAGTTATATAAAATGTTTTTTTTTTTTTTGAGGGCAGCATTTTGCTAACTAAAGACAAAAAAAAACATATTTTGGACCATCACAGAATGACTTGAGTGACCTGAATATCTATTTCGGGCTAGAGACTGAAAGGGTTACCTGGTCTTAATAGAGGAGACTGAATCTCAAAGGGGACCTTATTTACGCTAAAACACACTTTAAGAATTTTTGCACATCTCGGCATTTCCATCCAGCTTTTTTATCTTTATGCAGTATCCCAAAATTCACATAAACATAGGTGGAAACATAGACAAGCTTTACATAACATCTACAGAAATTAAACAGAGTTTCCATGATTTTTAGTTAAATGTGCTCAGTGTTCAAAATTAATTGGAAATTATTCTTATGTAGCTGAAAGGAAAATATGCATTTGCAAAACATTTTATCTGCCCTTTTCCTTTAAAAAAAAGGTAACATTACCCAGTAATGTGATTTTAAAAAATGCAAAGCCTTAAACTGGAGGCGAGAAAGACTCATCACAGTCAACTAAAAAATACAATATGTTTTAATAACACAAAGCTCTAAGGGTCAATTGATGAATTAAATTACTCTAAAGGAAAAGCACCTGCTCATTGGTAAGAAACATGAAACGCTTTGCCTTAAAAGCCTTTTTACAATACGATCGAACAATTGCTGTATAATTAATTATGCAAAAACACTTAAAAGGGCTATTTTGACATCAACACTGCTGTACCACTGCATGCCAGCTGAAGAAGTGCTTTTGTAACCGGTTCCCGAATGTGATTTTGAAGTAATGCTTTATTAAAATCCCTGGAAGAGGAGATTATTTCATTTCGAATGTTTTTTTGTGAGATTAATGCCACTCAGAAACACTTGAAAGGCGAATATGATGGCTAGCAGCTAAACTGTACCTCGTTTCTCGGCCATTAAAGTCTCTAATCAGTAGTTGCCAGAAGGCTAATGTATACTTTAATAACTAGCCAGGCCTTATAAAGCAACTTATTATCGACAATGTGTTTATCTGTAATGTTAGCCTTCCATTGCTAAAGGGCTGTGTAGAAACATCGCTCCATTTGCTGGTAAATCTCACCAGTTCGCGCACATCGTCAGCAAAATGGATTGGGACGACCTCATCATAACATTAAAAAAATGCGTTATTAGTAACGATATCTTGAACGTATCCATTTTTGTTTTAACTGTAACTTGTCAGTTTGTGTCACAAATGTCTGTTTTTAACTTTGCAAGGGCGAATTATAGTGTTTGATAGATCACTGTGCACAAGATGTACTGTAAAGTCAGACGTTGCCACAAGAGGTCGCGCTTGTGCAGGGAGAGCATGAAGCTGCAAAATGTGTCATATGCACGTGTTTATAATACCACAATTATGCATTCAAACATCACAAACATTTTTGTGCAACTGATCCGGTGCTGCCATTGTACCATGACAGCTCTCTATAGTTGTGAATATTTCTTCAGGGGACGGGAGGCTTTGTTTATTTATTTCTATAGATGTGACAAAGCTATTTGTAAATAATATATTTATTCTATAAATGTTTATTTTTCATTTTGTTGCATTTTTTCTTTGCATTGGACCAGTATAGATGTTTACTGTACATTTTATCAGTAATTTGTTTTTTTTTTGGTAAACTTTAACAAATATATCAAAGTCTGGTGCCTAATATCCAGCAAAACCTCACACTCGATGTGGTTCAGTGATTGAGCATAATATGCCTTAACAAATCACAAGCAAGGCTCAACACGTAGGTTTTATAGGTCTTCTGATTTGTTTTTTGTATATGAGCTTTTTTAATTCATGTTGCATTTTCATAATGTATTCATTTGATTTGTGTACACAAATCATCCCATCCGTTGTGTTCTTCCAGGGCAGATGTATTGGTGGTCACTCATCCAAAGCAAAGCCACTGAGATCCCCATGAGATTTAGAATGAATTAATATTTGCTTGAGGGTTGTCTAATCTGTCACATATACTATTCCCTCTCGTATTGACCTAATATAGCTTTCTACAAGAAAACATAACCTTCCCTGAGTTAAACTGAGCTTGAGAGTCAGATCCCAGCCCCTTCGAGCAAGACCAGAGCAAACTTACCAGGTTATCCAAGAGTGTACAGCTAGTAATGGTAACTGGTTTTCCGAATCCTATGATTTCTTCCCCATCAGTTCTGCCCCTGCTGCTTCAATCTGACACTGTCAAGTGGACTTAACAGAGGTACTTGTAAATTGCTGGAAATAAAAGATTATATTATTTCGTACGACTGCCCTGTGCTTTTCTGTGTTCATGGCTGCCCCATGCTTGCGGGGCCCTCACGGCGATCGCACCAGGACGGCCTGATAGACACCGATGCTGCTGGGTATGGGTAATGATGAAAAATCACATCGGCATTAATCTTCTGAGATGTATTGTACTGACATACTGCAGCAAAACTTGCTCCCCAATAGAGCATTTATTGAAACTGAGCTGCAAAAACACCTCTATCTGAAGTGCTTATTAATTAATACATGACCACACACAGTGAATAATGCCTGTTGGGTAATGATTTATGAGTAATGATATGAAATAATGTAAAATATTATTAGTTTGGGGTTGGAAGGATTTTTGAATGATTTTTTTGAAGTCTCAACGAGGCTGCATTTATTTGATCAAAAATAGTAATATTGTGAAATATTATTATAGTTTCAAATAACAATTTTGTATATGAATATGTTTTAAAATGTTATTTATTCCTGTGATTATTTTCAGCATCATTACTCCAGTCTTCAGTGTCACATGATCCTTAAGAAATCCTTCTAATATGCTGTTTTGATGCTCAAGAAATATTTCTTAATATTATTAATACTGAAAACGGTTTTGATGCTTAATATTTTTGTGGAAACCTTGATTTAAAAAAATCTCAGGATTATTTGATGAATAGAAAGTTCAAACGCTCATTTTTACTGATCGATTTCACTTTTGATACATTTCTTGATGAATGCAAGTATTTAAAAAAATCTTACCGACCCCATAGTTTTGAACAGTAGTGTCAGTTGGTGCTCAAAAACATTTTTTTTTCTGGATGATAAATGTCTGATAAGTGAACGTTTGAAATGTCCCAGTTGACGTCAGATCCAGTGACCTTGCATTTGTCATTTTCTGCCGTGAATCACAATGTTGCTGCTCCTCTTCTATCAGAGAGAGACAATGTTCCGTCCTTATCAAGCATAATACAGAGGAAGACTAATCATCCAGACGCATAACTCAGCAGATCTGGGTCCAGCATGAGAGCGGCTCAGTGGGATTGGCATAGGAATATAGGGATTGACACGGATAAGAGCGGACAGGCTATAGAACGAGGCCAAGGCTTGTCTGGATGGAGGAGCTTTCTAGAAAATGATCCCAGGAGAACTGACACTGTCTAAATGCTTTTTCTATATCATTCTTTTGTAGTTTAAGATTGAATGTTGTTTGAGAGATTGGTTCAGAACACAATGTGCCTGACACACTCGGAGACAAACTCACACACACTGAGGCTCTTTGTAATCTGACAGATGTTTGGGTCGGACCTTCACAACACAAAACAAAAGATCTATACAGTAGCAAGAAAATACATATGCTTATTTCTATTAAATAATATGACTTGTAATGTACCAAGAAGCATTTAAGAACCTCTTAACCCTATAAAGCCTAATGTATCGTGTTCGAGATTTTTCCAAAGCCTCTAAATTGTCAACATGATCAACGCTCTGCTAAAAAACCCTTTGTACACAATGTATGCCTTTTGTATAGTCTGATCGATAGTTTAGTTTTGAGCAAGTAAAAGGCCTATTTGTATCATTGTAAAAACGTTGGCCTTTAGGTTGTGGTTCTTTTTGCGTTAGTTTTTTAAGTAACCATAAGAACTTTAATATTGTTAGTTATATAGGTTTACTTGATTATCCATACATCACTTGTTAGAAAAATCAGTTTAAAATGTGAGTATTAAATAGGCTTCTGATGAACGTTGTTTACCTGTACATCACTCAATCGTCATTGCATTTATATATATTTTTCTCCACAGAAAAACTACAGAGCTTTGATCAGAAAACTAAGCATTTAAATATCCTCTTACTAAGACATATTATTGGGAGATATAGAGCGACGACTGATATTTATATGCATTCTAAGTAGTCTGCTATAATGTTTTAAAGGTATCTTTACATTTACATCAGATCTTGCTTTTTGGATGTATAAATATCAGCAACTGCACCAAATTGCATATATTTGTTCCATTTGGGCTTCCATATTCTCCTATTATATACTGTATGAGCCATAAAAGCCTGATGTATCAAAATTACTATTTCATGTCAGGCCTTAAGTATAAACATTACGTCACTGCTTCTATAAGACGGGGCTGGCAGTGGTCCACATTTTATTAGCTGTAGTGTGCTTGAGAAAAAGAAAAGGGTTAAAAGTCATTGCATTAGATAATAAAATATCAAACCAGGTGGCATGTTTTTTTTACTTTCTAATTCAAAACTGGTCAAATGTATGAAGCACTCAGGAGCTTGTTTCATAAGGATTCCTCCAATGAGCCGACACCGTATAGCAGCGGGGAATGACATCATGTGACAGTCAGATATCAGTGACACATGAACATGCACAAGCACAAAAAAATTGCAAGAAAAATGTTTTCTTTAAAAAAAAAGTTGTATTTTTTATTTGATCAAATTTAACTGATATTATTTCGAAGCATAAATATAATGGTTTAAAATTATGTTGTAAGAGGGTCATGAGAGCATAATATTTCTCACACAGATTAAGTGCTTTGCAGAGAAATTACAGTAACACACCACAGTGAGACTGAACTCAAAAGCGTTATAATGTGGCCTATTCATGCCGTGCACGTAACAAGGGTAAACGCTTGGAAAGATTCCAGGAGACTATGTAATATGCGTTTGAAGAAGAATAGGTTAAAGTCGGCATGAATCAGAAGTTGCGATAGTCTTTTCTTCCATATTGTGACGTATATCCGAGTTAACC